GGGGGGGGAGCCGTGGTCTGTTCTCAAAGTTTAATTTCCAAGTGGAGACCTTGAAGCGTGATTTATTAACATCATGCTGTTTGCTTTTGTCACGTTGTGGATGTGGCAGGGGAAGCGCTGGCCCCTCTCCAGCCCGGACCACCCAGCGAGCCAGCCTGGCTACCGGCGGCGCGCACCCCGCTCCGCCGCTTCACCCCCAACTCCCCACCTCCAGCCCCGGCCACCGGCTCCCCCACCCCACGGCAGCCAGCAGCAATAACAGCAATAACACCACCACCGCCCCCCCAACCCAAAAAAAAATAAAATAAAATAAGAATATCCTAACAGCCAGGCTGTCTGGGATGAGAAAATTGCAAAACCAGTCCCCACCCCATCACGGAGAGTGTGTGCGGGGAGGAGAGGGAGCGTGAGGAGGGGGCAGAGAGGGAACGAGACAGACAGAGGGGAGGGAAGAAGGGAGGAGGGAGCCCAAGCTCTGAGAAACATCACTCCATCCCTCTCTCTCACTCCACGGGAGCTGAGCGAGGAGCAGGACGATGTTTGACAACACGCAGTACCCCTACAACTGCTTCAATTACGATGGGGATGACTATCCTACCTGTAGTTCTGATGAAGAGAAAAAATTCACCAGACCGGCATACAGGTAAGAGGAAGTTTTTCCAAGTCCCCCCAATACCTGGGGAGGCTCCTGAGCTATGGGCTGGTGGGATCAGAGCTCTGGGGGGAGCGTGGGACCTTCCCCACGTGTGGCCGTGGGTCTGACCCCGGTGCAGGCTCCGTGGAGGGCAGATTTCTCCCCTCTCTTCATGTTTGAACTGTTCAGGATTTGTTTCCCCCAGTGTGGGGTCACAGTAACTCCGACGTGCTGTTGAGCCTCCAGATCTCCCATGGTCTCCTCCGACCTCCAGGAGCCCCGGGAGACAGGGAATTAAATGTGCATCGTGCCAGCGGGTGAAGGGGATGCAGACAGTCCCCAGGGTGGTGGGAGGACGTGCGGTGTAGATGTTCACAGGGGCACCTAAGGTCCTCTCCACGGGAGGACAGGGTCTCCAGGGACAGTGTCTCTGTCTCACTGCAGCCTTCCAGCTCAGGGAAACTTTTCCGATGGGGTTTGAGAGGTGGGAGATGTTCCTGCAATCCTGGATCCAAGCCCTCTGTGCTGAGCACTGGGACAAGCAGCCAGGTCGGGGCTCCATTGCCTGGACCTAACACCTGAGAGTGGCCCCGGGGCTTGGAATTGCCCCTGGGGCATCTCAGATCAGGGCACGGATCCACCAGCAGAACTTTTAGAAGCAGGATACAGGCAGACATGTACCCATGAGGTCCTGAAAACTGAGTATGTGAGTAAAGCCATGGTGTAACAGCAAGTTTTCCTTTTTTCAGCTACATTGCCTTAATTGCAATGGCCATCCAGCAAAGTCCTTCAAATAAAGTCACCCTCTCTGGCATTTATGACTTTATAATGAAGAAATTTCCTTACTACAGATCAAATCAAAGAGCCTGGCAGAACTCCATCCGACATAACTTATCGCTTAACAGTTGTTTTGTAAAGGTAAGATCAGTAACTGTGTATTTACATACACACTGTGCATGGCTAAAAAAAATATATGCAGGAATAATGTCATCACTGGGAAAGAAGGGAAACAAACAGCTGAGCAGCGAATCGCTTAAAATCCCTCTGAGTTGTCAATTATAGAGATAAAGAGTGTCTCCTTGTCTGATGCGTGCTAATAGATAACAAATTGACGGGGATGGAGTTTACATCCTATTCGTATAATGAAAGAGAAGAGGCTTAAAAGTCTTGTCGTGTGTGTTTACACCATTCCTGAATGTAAATGAATGCAGATGTTAAGCAGCAGCATCTGTAACACATACAAATACTGAACTGCCTTTAAATAAATACAGGTTCCCAGAACAGAAGGGAATGAGAAGGGGAAAGGAAACTATTGGAGCTTTGCAACGGGCTGCGAATCCATGCTGGATCTCTTTGAAAACGGGAATTACAGGCGAAGACGGAGGAGGAGGAACGTGAAAAGGGAACACAAGGAGCAGAGACCAAGCAGAGGGAAGAGTCCTTCATCCCCCGGTATGCCTTCTGTGGACTCGGCTTTAAACAGCATTTCCTCTTCTGAAAGTAGACACGAAAGAATCGAGTCGGGCCCGAGACTCCTGGAGCCTCGGGGCTTTGCTGCGAGCAGTCTGACCAGCAGGCAGAGCCTAAGCAATTCCTCCTTGGCAAAATCGGATTCCGAAATCAAATTCAGCATCGATTACATCCTCTCAGCCCCCGACCCTTTGCCTGTCCTGAGGTCTCAGTATCACATGCAAGAAAATAAATGTCATCTACTGGAGGCCCAGCAAATTAATCTCCAGTTCTGGACAATGTGATGTTATTTATTGGTGGTGACACAGCCCGAGTCGTCCGGCAGCCTCACGCCACCCAAACCCAGCCGCCTGCATCCTCCGTTCCTCCCCGAGCAGCGCTCAGAAGGGGGTACCCATTCACCAGCTGATTCTCTGCCGGTACCCAAAGGACTTCACCAAGATTAGAGCAGAAATAACATTTCCCAGTATCGGTTTTCACAAAATTCTAGCTTTGTTTCCTGCACTGTCGTGGACGTCGTTGAACACCACAGAGAATTTCCTCTCTCGAGCAGAAGCCGACAGAAAAGAGACGTGCTTATCACCCGTTGCTTTATTAAAGACAGAGTGAATTTGATTCCACTTTCACTGGTGGAAATTAGGATTAATTCCACTGAAGTATATAGGTCAGAACTTAAGCTGATCTAAAGCAGTGTAATTCTGTCGACTTACACTGGCTGAGAATGTAAGGGGGCGGGGAGGGGGGGGCTTTGTTTTCTTAAAAGGAATCACAGAAAATCACTGTCTTCCCTTATTTTCTGTTTTAACATCATGCTTCAAACTGTTCTGCAGCTTTAATTCATCATTAATTAGAAAATGTAGTTGTTAATAAGTGTTTAAAGTATATTTTTGTTGATATTCAGGGCAGAGTTGTTTAAACTGTTGAAGTGAAGTTGCATCAAAATAATTCCAAGAAAGCTCATGGCAAAACTGTTGAACTCTGGTAGAATTTGATGGGAAATGGGACAGAGGTGAGAACCTCTTAATGCCTTGGTTTTACAAAAAAAAACCAAAAAAACCCCAACTTCTCCCCTTGTAGTATCCAAAAGCTTCCTGAGATGCTGCAGGGAAGTCCCTGGAGATGTTTCATTCAGCAAGTGTGACGGGAGACCCAGTTTTGCAAGAAGCTGAACCCAGTGTTGGCCGAAGCTGGAATCCCACCTCCCGGCTGTGAGACAAGTTGTATGTCCCTATTAAATAGATTTTTATTGATCCTTCTTGCAAAACAATTACCAAAGTGATACTTGATACGATTTCAGCAAAGCTGGTGAGAATTATAATTAACACACAGCAGCGTCAGACCATGAGCCCCGTTTCTACAGAAAGCCATTTCATCACCATTTCCATGTTATTTCAGAACAGAACCCGATGGACAATGATGAACCGTAATGAGCATTTAAGAACTTGCTTTTATACAACTTGTTCACAATTAATTGCTTCCCAGGACCTAATGGCAGCGTTAGGACAGACTCCAAAAAACCTTGGGTTTGGCTTGGAAACTGCAATCCTCACCTACTGCAGATAAAAGAAAAAAAGACAAGGATTCTGGTGGTTTTAAGCAATTATATACCGACAGATAAAATTATCTTTGCAACATAAACTAAAGGTAAATGAAGGTATATGAGAGAAGATTGAGCAGAATTGTGCTAGAGGTATGCTCAGGCATGACTTGAATTTTTATGCAGAAGCTTTGACATTTCACTAAGTTATTTTACATTGTGTCTAATATATGCTGTACATTTATACTATATATTCTTATATATTGTTATTGAGAAAGGGAGCAATATCACTGCACTTATATGTTGTAAAAATGCATGATGTATGTTGTCATGATGCTGAAACTCCTGCCATATACTTAAAATTTACCATCAGCGGTATTTCACACTGATTGGTAATAAATGCTCATTTTTTGGAAAACTATAAAACTTGCTATCTTCAGGCATTTCCACAGCATGCAAAACTCTGTGCTGCTTCTTCAGAAAAAACAAAATGGAAAATCCCATTCTGTTGCATCACTGCATGTCTTCCCAACTTTGAAGGTATGATTCCTTGTGTGGAAATTCTGCCTTCAGATGGGAGCTCTCAGTGCTCTCTGAATCCCAAGGTTATTCTGGGCGATTTTCTGAAAGCAAAATTTGGCTCATTAAACCTGACCCATCTCCTGTTTGTACTGAGGTCAGAAAAAAGAAGAAAAACTCTGTGGTCACCGGGCAGATGGATTCTTGTTCAAAGAGGGACGAGAATTCACTCCTTTGGTATTTATGCTGGGCTGTAGATAGGTGTGGGAAGAGCATGTCCTCATGTTGTCCTTCAGTGTGTGCATGTGCTCACGTGTGGGGTGGGATGTGTGCACCTCTGGGACCCCACCTGTGCTCGGATACTCCTGCTTTATATGCAGATTTTTTTCGCTGGTTGTTTTAAAGATGGCAATGCTGCTGTTAGGCTGATAGTTATAGTCCACATCTGCAGTATATTTGAAATATATATATTTTGCTGTGAAATGTGAGAATATGATTCTTATTATGTGTGCTTTGTTAATGCTCTTAGTGAAAGGTAACCCAACGACAGCGAAAGGTCCTACTAAGCAACACCTTACCCAGGTGAACACAGTGGGCTGCTGGGACCAGTGGAGACAGAGTTATGGCTACGAAGCAATATAGGATTAATGTATCATCAGGAAAGGCAGAAATACACCCAGGTGGATTTACAGCAGAGATCCAAAACCATTTTCGGTTAAGATGAATTAATATTCACAAATAGCCATGTCCTTTGCTCCCAGTAAAGTGCCTTCTAGGAGAGACTGTCATACTTGAGTTTTCCTAACATATAATCAAAGAAATTTGTGTACAAATAGGTGTTAACATTTGTTTTGCAAAGGATATCAATCATATCTCAAAAAATGAAGGGACATATTTCAATTTACCCAGTATATTATATTCTGACGACTCCAGAAAGGTTTCCAGCACTTAAAGTGAATGGCATTTAATATAGAACAACATAACAGGGGTGAGGGCTAGATGTGACCTTATTCAAATGTCGTAGCCATTACAAAACCATTCCCAATGTAATTATAATTAAGTACTTTATGCCTTTCTTGCAAATCCTCTGATCGATCATTGATATTAACATTAATATTGTATTACCCCCGAGCAAATGTCTCCCACACAAGTGTTATGGATCACCAGGTTTCCATTAACAAAGTTGTGAGCTATTGCCATATGCTGGTCGTGGATAAATTTACGTAAATTACCTTTTCTCAGGGAAGAGGGGAAAAAGTCGGGTTGTTTTTTTTTTTTCCCTCTTTTTCCTGCACTCTGAGTCTAGAGCTATTTCTTCAGCTCCATCACAGCCTGTCAGCCACTCATATAAAGCCACAAGGAAAGGAAAAAAGGAAAATCTCAGGGGAACATCCCTCTTCGCCCCGTGTTGAAGCAGGTGAGTGCTCTCCAGACACATCTGGTTTGGTCAAAGGCTGAGCTGCAGGCAGGGCTGCACCCACCAAAACCATTACTGGGCTGTGTTTAAAGGTATCGGTGTTTGGCTCAATTCCTCACCTCGAGGGCTCTTCCTGACTGCAAGGAGGGACCCAGAGTGAGCCATGGATTTCCTAACCCCAAAAGAGGTGCATTCTTGAAGGCTAATCCTGTCTGTCCCAAGCCTGGAGGAGGCGGGATCAGGGATGGGAGAGCAGCTCCTCCCTGCCAGGCTGGTGGGGGACAACAAGCCTTTTGTCCTCTCCTTTTAGGATCATAAGTACCTTTGCAAAGGAAAGATGAAAGGTTTCTTTCTGGGGACAAGCTAGACTTGGCCTCGCTGAGTGACCCTGGGGTGTTTTGTTTATTTTTCCTTTTAAAGGAAGGTTTCCCATGATAAAGCAAAGATTTTGATGGAGCTGAGCCAAGTTATTCTGCAGCAATTCGACTTCTAATGATTTAATTTCTTAGGCTTTTGTCATTGGTGTCACGGAAGTGGTTTTTGCATGGAGATAGGATGCTCTGCTTCAGGTAACACCCAGTGCAGGCCAGTGGTTGACCTCACCTCTGAGAACCTCTCCCTCAGCAGAACCTTCCCCTCCTCATTATGGGAGCATTAATGCAAACTAGGATAGGCGAAAACAAACCTTTTCTTTGTCAGTAAAGCCAAATTCCCCTATTTTTCTGCCAATCAGATAGATCTTATTAGTTGAGACCCATTAACTCCCCATATCAACAGAAGCTGTGTTCAAGGAGCATTTGAAAGTCAACCACCCTGGAGAGTGGGCTCTTCCCACCCCTTTGTTTTCTTGTGTTCCATCTCTTGGGCTGCCACAACCTTCCTCAGAAGCTCAGCAGGTTGCTCTGCTGACTTGCAGAGCAATCTCCATGTTCCCTTGAAGTGGATTCAAGATTTTTGCACCATTTTCTGGCCACAGAGGATTTTCCTTTTTGAGTAGCAATTGCCTGTTCAGGTCCAAATCTTGTGTGTCCTCTCCACTCTCTACTGATAGAGGGGACACAGTGGGAGGGAAAGGGGTTTGGAGGGACAAAGTTTTGGGAAAAGGCTCTGCTACACATCTTCCAGGAGTAGAGAGTGGGTTGGGACTCTGTGAATGGGTCCTTGGGCCCTTGGGGTTGTATCAAGTCTCTGTATTGTACACTGAGGGCAGCATCGTGAATGGGTCCTTGGGCCCTTGGGGTTGTACCAAGTCTCTGTATTGTACACCGAGGGCAGCATCTCCCCAGTGTCCCACCACATTCAAGCTCAGGAGAAAGCAAGAACGTGGCCCTAAGCAATCAGGGCCCTAACCTTCATCTCTGGCAGTGCAACACAAATCCCTGTCTGTGATCAGCACTTCAGATCCCAAAACCAAGACATAGAAATTCTGGTCTGCACATTCCAGTGGCCTCTCCCCACTTGGGCTCCTCTGGTGCGTGCTTGCCTCGCAGCTGTGGGGGTGTAAATCCTTGCAAATCCATTAACTTTGGGTACAATTGCTTTTGGAATTGAAATAGCACGTGTGAAACTGAACTCCACATGTTATACCCAACATCTCTACTCACACAGGCTGCCAAACCATGCCAGCAACTCATCTAGATAGCATTCCCAGAGCAACAGAAGGTCCTGCCTTTTCATTCTGCCTCGGCTTCCAGCTTCTGACTGCTTTCTCCAGAACGTGGGTACCATATGCACTGCAACGCACAAAGAACCTAGCACATACCCTCTGTCTCTGTCTTACTGGGAGTGTCTTTCCAATGGCACTGAGGGTCATTAAATTAAAGAACAGAGTAGGTCCAAGTCCTATGGAACTTGCACTGGAATTTTTTTACTCAGAGAGCTAACATAAAATAACAAAGTAAGTTGTGCTCCCTCCCACCCCAGCTACAACAGTTGGAGGCAAATCCAACTGTGAGAATTTTGCCTGAGAAAGAACTGCCGGATTTCTCCCACTGTGAAATCCAGCTGTTAATTCAAACAGAAGGGATGGACCTGACCAGATAGGCCAACTGGCTTCTTTCCATCCTGAAGTCCATTGTGTTCCACAAGTTCCTAAATTTATGGTCATGAAGGTCTTCCAAGCCCTGTAACGAAGTATGGCATGCAATGTTTTTGTTACGGAATGCGCACTGCAAAGGAAAAACAA